GTCTAAAAAAATTATTAAAGTTATCTTCAATAATCTAAGATCAATTGTTAATATTTTCACAAATTTTACCGTACATGCATTTCTTATTATCCTCTCTAAATAAAAGATAAAAGTCATACCAGTTCGTTATGAACCATAATTATACCAGTTCCGCGCATAAAAAAGTAAACTAGTTGGTAGAAATTCTAGTTCGAAAACTGGTATTAAATGGGAGTGTCATACCAGTTCGTCATGGACTATAATTATACCAGTTCTCTGCAGTGAAATGCCAAACCAGCCAGTATAAATACTAGTTCATTAACCAGTATGTGCTAAAGCGACGGCCTACCATTTTGGCGATTTCGAACAACTTATGCTATCAGCGACATCTGTCTTTGAATAGGCATAACCAAAACTAAAACGTGGTTAATTGCTTTCATAACAAATGTCGGCTGTGGCGTCGAGTGAAGACTACCGATTCTGGTTCTGAGATCTCAGGTTCGAGTGCGCGTGGAGGTTGTTAAAGTAAAGTAAGTAAATTAATTTAAATAATTATAATTATTTCAATATATTTCAATTTAAATATAAAATAAAAATTGTAAATAAATTGAATTTGATTTGAAAAAACCTAAATACTCAAATACCATAAAAAAATGAAAATAAATAGTTTTTTGTTCTTTTTAAAACAATAAATTTAAAAATTACACAAGAGATATAAATAAAAAAATAAAACAAAAATAAAAAAATATTCGCTCACTAAGATTCGAACTCGGATCTCTTGATTTGGCGTACCAAAGCTTTACTCTGTCGACCATTGCCACTGTTGCAGCGCCGCGAGCAAAATGACATGACACTGTTGCCACGCACAGAAGGTGGAATATTTTTGTTTGTTTAGGACTCTTTGACATTATTACATTATCTTCAAACAACATGTCACTGGTATTAATATCAATGTTTTTAGATTAGAAATGAACCTTCGGGTGCGTCTAAAAAAATTATTAAAGTTATCTTCAATAATATAAGATCAATTGTTAATATTTTCACAAATTTTACCGTACATCCATTTCTTATTATCCTTTCTAAATATTACCCCATCACTCTTTTTCAGTACTGGCAATGCTTTTGCGTTCCGATTGCAGCGGGGCCAGTTGTATGCTTGCCACTGGTGTGGTATTATATTCGAGAATTCGGTACTGATATTGTTTTGTTTCGTTAGCCTCAAAACACCTCTTAAGAATATTTTTCGCAATCGCAACGCCCTTTTCCGCCAATCCATTGCTCTGAGGGTATCGAGGACTTGAGAACCTCATAACAATGTTATGGCTACTAGCAAATTTATGAAATTCCCCTGACACGAATGGAGTATTATCACATTTGACTATTGTAGGGTATCCTAGTTTATTGAAATTTGGTTTTAGTTTTCCAATACGTCCCGATGTTTTATTTGTCAGTTTTTCAACAATAACGAGCCCTGAATATGCGTCAGTAATAGACAGGAAATCCTGGCCAGCACATTCGAAAAGGTCCATGGAGATTATATGAAAATGGTATTTGGGGTTTTCCTCTTGCACAAGTATTTATTTTTGCTGATTACGAGTAAATTTTTCAGAGACCGAACACGATGTGACCATTTCCGTAATCTAACTGTTCATATTTGGCCAATAATAATACATTCTTGCTCGAGCTAGTGTTTTTTCAATACCTAAATGAGGAGCGTGCAACCACTTGCTGATTTTGCCTTGCAATTCCGTCGGAATCACTAATATATAATTTCTAAAAAGCAGTCCATTTTCAAAATGAAGTTCCGATTTAAATTGATAAATACCCTGCTCAGATCGTCTAGTTTATGATAATTCGGCCAATGGTTCTCAACATATTTACAAGTTCTCGAATACCTCTCATCACGTTCAAGCGACGACTGATAAGTTTTATAATTGTGTTCCGATAAGCACGCACACTTTATAACTGTATGAATGACGCCATCTAATTCTTTTATTTCATCACAGTCCGGTAACTGGGCACGTGATAAACAGTCAGCAACGAGTATCTCCTTTCCAGGTTTGTAAACTACAGTCATCTTTGGATATTTTAGCAGCGACATGAATATCCTTTGCAGTCTCGCTGTAACATCATTAATATCGCGTTTGACCAATGTTTCTAGGGGCTTGTGATCAGTCTCGACTGTAAATTCACGACCGCACAAAAAATAGTGAAATTTTTGACACGCGAACACGATGGCTAATAGCTCTTTTTCGATCTGAGCCCACCTTTCCTCAGTTTTACTAAGCGTGCGAGAGGCGTACGCTACGGGGTGCCCATTTTGTGTCAACACACAACCCCATCCATCTTTCGATACATCGGTTTGTACAACGACTGGCTTCAATAATTGTTGACGACCAGCCCTTTTGTTCGATGGCCCACGATTCCACTAAAATTATCCGATTGACTAATTTACCTCACATGTATTTCTAGTGCGTCAGAGTTTAAATAGTCTTGCACGCTAATTTCGCAAGTTTTTCTTTTACTTTGGTGATTGTCGTCGCTTTAGTGATTTTAATCCCACTTCAGACACCATGTAACACTATCTGGTGATTACTGTTAAATTAAAGAATAATTCTGCGAGTAATTAAAAATGTCTTTTATTCGTATTCAATTCTCTTCACAGGATATATTGAAAAACAGGGGTGCCAGGTGGCTTTGTATTTATTGCTTGAACAACATGATTGCCAGCTGTGGTAAAACTTGAATTAATCGATGGGTACGTTCACTCACTATGGCTACTTATTACATCTGGTAACCCTACTTTTTGCATCATCATTTACAACAATTCAGCCAACAGTTACCAACAGAATCAGACGAACAAGGCGAGCTGTACCATTAGCTTGCTCTTCCTACTTGATGATTACGTTGTATCAGACAATGAATATGAATAAATTGTGTAATTAAAATTTTATTTTTTTTAAATGCAAAGGCCAAATTTTGAACGTCAATATTTTTAGAAAGCGAGCTAACTTTGGAAAACCCTTTTAGGGGTTTGCTGTTGTAGATCAGTACTATTGACCTGTGTAGCTTTTCTATCGTAGCAGTTTATCCTGATTCCGAATATCATAATGGTTTCTCTGAGTCAAGCCGAGCTTTTATGATATAGGTAAAAATATGATAAAGCCCATAGTTGTGACACATTACGTCACATATGTATGTATGTATGTGCATCGAAAAGTCGTATTCGTCATCATATCGGTTTTACGTCTGAGAGAGATATGTAAGGATCCAATATTTAAACTGCATTATTTAAATATGGGTACGGTTGCCAGACGTGCTGATCTGGGAAGCACAGTAGGTACTGAATTTGTACTCGCTGTACTGAAAATTTTCAATTCCCAATTCAGTACGCAAATGTTCTTATTTTTGGGAAATGTCTGCTGATTTTTACCACTTATTTTTCAATATCGCATCAGAGGCGGACACAGAATTTTGGTTGTGGAGAAGGGATTTGGGTACACATCAAATAGGGTTAAATTAAACACGTTTCACCGACGTATGACCCCTCAAAGTTCATGCTATATGACCTACAAGCATCCAACCGGTAGTATACGAATTATATAATCTTTTAAAAAATAAGAAAACACAAAATTGAGCCGTGTATTTTGAAAGTGGCATAGGTCACTCCACACCTCTTGTACTTAAATGACTGGTTACTTGTATCTGGACGTAGGTACATACATATTTCTTACTGCAATGTATACGAGATGCTGGTTGTATGCGAAGTGCCATTATTTATTCATTCCTTTTGACATTACATTTTAGCTTTACAACTTAACCTACAGGGGTCGCCGTGGCTATGACTTATTGGTACAGAGATGCCACAACTCCCTCCTCAAGCTTAAAAGTACAATAAGAAAATAAGTATTCAAAGTTTTGAAGTTTCAAAGTTTTAAAGTTTCAAAGTTTTAAAGTTTCAAAGTTTCAAAGTTTTAAAGTTTCAAAGTTTTAAAGTTTCAAGTATATATTCCATAATTATTCTTTGTAATTAACACGCCTTTTGTTGCGTAAACTTCTTTTTAAATCAATTTGCTCTTGATCAACAGCGTCTCCATCTCCATCCGCACTTAGCGGAGGCTGTGGAGTCGAATTCTCCGGGGTATCAGCTAATTCTACCCCTTCTTGTTCATTATTTTCTTTTAAATCAGGGTTTATCTCTTGGTTCGTAGCACCAGAAATTATTTGGTCTACGTGCCTCTTAATTGGCTTACTATTTCTAGTTAGAATACATCTATACGTTTGAGATCCGATGCGCTTATCGACCGTTGCTTCCTCCCAACTATCTTTTTTAGGGTTAGAGTAATCCCTGACAAAAACGTTTGCCCCATCTTTAAAGCTAACTTGTCTGTTTCCTTTGTGATTCTTAACGTTGGATGATTGCTTATCCGAAATTATGTCTTTCGCGAGTGGCGGTCTAAATAAGCTAAAATGTGCCTTAAGCTCCCTGCCTAACAATAACTTTGCTGGCGATTCTCCGGTAGTGCAATGCTTTGTGCACCGGTAATCTAACAGAAAGGTATCCAGGACTTCTTGCAAATTTCTCTGCTCAGCCCCATTTAAGCACGCCTGCATGGATTTTTTAAACGTCTTAACAAAATTTTCGGCCTGCCCGTTCGTCGCCGGGCAACCTGGTGCCGTTAAACAATGTTTAATCCGATTTTCTAACAAAAACTGCTTGAATTCGGAAGATGTAAATTGGGACCCGTTATCACTTACCAAAACGTCAACCAAGCCGAATCGAGCAAATACCTCACGTAATTTATTGACGGTAAACTCCGCTGAAATGGTCTTTGTTTTAAACACCTCGGCCCACTTAGAGTGCGAATCGATGACTATAAAAAAATAAAAATTTCTATACGGCCCAGCAAAATCAACGTGGATTCGAGACCATGGATAATCGGTAGGTACCCAGGGAACCAAAGGACTCTTTTCCGGACTATCTCGTGTGTATTTGCAAGGCAAACAATTTGAAATCATACCCTCTATACACTGATCCAGCTTTGGCCACCAAACGTACGAGCGCGCTAGAGCCTTGGTTTTAACAATACCGAAGTGCGAGCGATGCAATACTTTTAAAACCCTTTCGCGCAACTTATTAGGAATTACTACCCTGTACCCCCACAAAATGCAATCGTAGTCCACCGACAGCTCATTCTCTCTACACTTATATGGCACATAGTCCTGGCCCTCCAAGGATCCTACGGTTCCATTTTGTATTGCTACCATGAGTTTGGACAATACCGGGTCTTGCTTGGTTGCCCTCGCTATATCCCTGAAATTCAGGTTCAATCTGTTATCGGATGTAATAAAATTTATATAATCGTATTCGCTGCCCTCTGAAATGGTGTCTGTTTGCGGCAACCTAGACAAATGGTCCGCAAAATTTGAAGAACCATTAATATACCGAATCTCATAATTAAAGCCGGACAATATGTATGCCCATCTCTGCATTCGAGCAGCCGCCATTACGGGCAAACCTTTATGTTCGCCGAAAATAGTAAGCAGTGGCTTGTGGTCGGTTTGCAAAACTAACCTATTTCCTAGTAAGTACTGCCTAAGCTTCGTTACGCTAAATATAACCGCGAGTGCCTCTTTCTGAATGGTGCTATAATTCCTTTCTGCGCGTGATAAGGCGCGGGAAACAAACGCAACAGGCCGAAGCCCGTTTGCCAACGAATGACATAGTACTCCAGATACGGCTACATTCGAAGCATCAGTCGATAGTACGATTGGAATTTTTGGATTGAAGTGGGCTAGAACTTGATCCGATGTTATGCCCTTTTTCAATTGATCGTACGCCCCCTGACACGATTTAGACCACTCAAATTCGACATTCTTTTTTAACAATTCGTACAACTGAGACATTTTGTGAGCAAAATTGCAGATAAATCTAGAATAATAATTTACCATACCCACAAAAGCTCTAACCTCAGCTACATTTCGAGGGACTGGGGCATCTAGCACAGCAGCGATTCTATCTTTGTTTTTACTTAGCCCATTACGATCAATGTTGAATCCTAGATACGAAATACTTTCTTTGAAAAATTCGCATTTATCCACGTTCAATCTTAACCCTACCGTTTGTAGCTTTACCAAAACCGATTCTATGGATTTAACATGGTCGTTTAAATTGGAGCCAGTTATAACGATGTCGTCTAAGTAGTTTACAACGTTAGGTATACCGCGCAACATATTTTCAATAGTCCTCTGAAAAATAGCTGCAGCCGGCTTAACCCCAAAAGGTAATCGAGTCAATTTGAAAATCCCCATATGCGTACTCCAGGCACACAACTGTTGCGACGATTCTTCCAAAACAAGCTGATTGTAGGCATTCGACAAATCTAACTTTGTGAATAGCTGCCCTTGTAACGACGCAAACAACTCTTCAATCCTAGGAAGGGGATAATTTACATCAACTAAATGTTTATTAATCGTTGACTTATAATCTCCGCAAATGCGGAGCCCTCCATTCGCTTTGACAACTGGCACCAATGGTGTACCCCAATCCGAATTTTCCATTGGAACTAAAACTCCTTTCTCTACCAAATCATTAAGTTGTCTTTCGACCTCACTACGCCAGGCTATTGGAACTGGCCTTGGTTTACAAAAAACGGGCTCTACACCTTCCATGACCTGTAATTTAACCTTTGCCACATTGTAAGCTCCTAAATCGCCACGAAAAACGTCGCTAAATTGCCTTTTTATGTTAGCAGTTAGTTCACTAAACTCAAAGACCATGTTAATTTGTGTCAGACCTATGCCGAATACCGCCATAAAATCGCGACCTAAAACCGGAGGACCACACTCGTGTGTAACTTCAAAACGCACCTCATGATTTTGGCTCTTAAATTTAACACTTGCTAAAAATTCCCCACCAACGTCGATGTGACCCCCATTATATGCGAACAACTTGTCCGCACACGGCTGTAGCGCTTTAACATTAAAATAATTATCGAAAGTTGCTTTCGGCATTAACGAACAAGCGGCACCGGTATCTAAAATAAAGCCCAAAGGAATTCTATTCACCTCCACGGTGACTGCGAATGGCGATGAAGACGCTTGGTGCCTATCACTAACACTACAAACTGAAGAATCCATTAGTTCACAACTATTTGACATGTCTTTACAATTAAAATGATTTGAATTATTTGATAACTCTATGAAATTGATACCTCCGTTTGTGCACACACTTGCTAAGTGGCCTACCTTGCTACACTTATGACAGGTGCTGTTGCGATACTTGCACTTTTCATTAGCATGTGTCTTCCATCCGCAATGACTGCACTTTTTTTTTGCCTTGTTGTTTTTTTCTGACGTTTTCTTCGCACCGGTGTCCTCATCTTTCGTCACATTTCTATTGTTGTTGCTGCTGGATGCCTGAGCGCTACCTTTTTTATATTCACGTTTTCGGTGACTTACGTTATTAACCTCACTTTCTCGTTGCGTTTGCTGGGTATTATACTTTGTCTCAGTTGCCATCGCCTTTTTCAACGCTTTTTCCAGGGTCAAATCTTCTTCCTCTTCGCACAATCGTTCAAACACTTTACCATCGCATCCCGTGACAAATTTGTTAAGAACAAATTGCTCCAACTGGTTGCCAAACTTGCACTCCATTGCCAATCTTTTTACGCGTGCGAACCATTTAGAGACCGACTCCCCTTCAGTTTTCCGGGCGTCGAAAAACGAGCGCCGCTCTCGAAATACGATAACCGGAGGAGAATAATGCCGCTCCAGCAATTTGCATAAATCCGCATAAGTTTTCGTTGCTGCTTCTACAAAATGTGAGTCCAGCAACTCGCGCCAATTTCGCCAATTATCGGTGTTTGGTCTAAATTCACGTATGGTTGTGGCCGCAGCAGACAAAATAAAACTATCATTCGCCCCTCTGCTTTCATTTGGACCGCCTCCAGGCATTATCAATATTAATATTCTTTACCTTTTATTTCAATTTTTATTTTTTTTTTTCT